GTCGCTGATACGCTTATACCCCGACCTCAGTTCTACCGTATCGTCGCGTAGCTGAATTCCCGACGGCGCATTGCCGTCCACTTGTGTCGTTGTTACATGCGGACAAGGGTTGCACGACGGTACCACGTCGCTACTAGAGCTATTAAGCAAATCAGGTGTTATACATAGCTCCGCCAACGAGGCTGCCTGCAACCTGGCCATGGCCCCGGCAGGCCTGGCTGACGATGACACACGAAGCTTAGCTTTAGGCCGCAGGACGTTGTCGTACTCTAACCGGAAGATTAGGCACGAGCACGTAGGAATATGCAACAAGGAAAAGCGGGCAGCACTAGTAAACAGAAATGCGGAACTGTCAAACATTTGTACGAGCGAGTGAGCTGTAGATGTGTCTAACAGCCTTCTGTGGCTGTGCCACATAATCATATCGAACACTTATTCGTCTTGTAGCCACATACAACCAGGCACGAACATATAGACACACGTACGGAAAGACGTCAGCTCAAGCAGTTGCTCGCATTGGTCGTGTTTTACGCGTAACGGTGTCGCAGAATTGATGCGAACGACCGAAAACAAAGGAGAGAGAGAGAGAGAGAGATCTTTCAGCGTGCAAAAAAGGCAGCACTCAGCCATGACGGCTATTAATCCTCAGCCAGAAACCGCGAGCTTACGCCGTCTTGACAACTGCTGCCATCACTCCATAATGCTCTGCGTCGCGGGATTAGCATTAATGCAGTAGTAATCTACCCTTCGTATGCACACATTTACCAGATGGCAAAACACAATGTGACCCGCCAGCGTGCTCAGTCTACAGCTATTAAGCACACTACGAATTTAACAGTAGTAGAAAGGGAAGGCCATGTTTGTTGCAAAAGCTTCTATTGAGAAGCTTTTCAATATCGAAAGTATGTTACATAGAAACACATTGTGAATCAGTGTAAGAGGGGAGGGGAGGGGAGCGGAGGGGAGGGGGAACTGTATGACAACAATGTGGAAAAGTATCACTTTTTTTTTACACAGCCCCCGATTTTCTAGAATCGTTTCCAATCGTGATTACTGTCACTTCAAGCCGCACGGCGCTCTGCTATGATGAAATCATATGGGAATATTTAGATCAAAGAGGAGAAACATGTATGGTTTATATAAGTATATATAGGCTTGATGTTAAATTACTCGCTTATACGTATTGTCGGACTTGCTCAATGTTGTGTAGAGCATTATACAATAGTCACACTGGCGTGCTTATATATTTCATAACAATTATTTGCTGAACTGTGCATCTCATGAGAAATTCATTAGCTTATGTACATCGATTGTGACACACTAGTCACACATTTCTGCAGCAACTTCCGCTCATTTGAATTTTATGTTGTACACATAACACATAATGTTGAACACCGTTTGTCTAGAGCGAAAGCTTCGAAGTCGACTTCAAAGGATTTTCGTGGTACTTTTGTTAGAATAAATTCGCATTTGTCCAATGAATCAAGTCTTCAAAAAGAGAACTTCAAAGAAGACAATCGCCTTCGTCCGACACGAACGCGACGCATGTTTGTGTGTCGGTGCGCAATTATGTATAGGCCATTCGTGGAAAACTTTCTTTTGTAAGAGTTGCTCTGTCCGTGTCGCATTTTCATATATGCAGATATATTTACATATGTGCAGTATTGTATATGTTGAGTCCACGATTGTTGTGTTACGGCAGAAAAGCGACAATGGCTTAGGAAGGCCGTATTGCGTGCCTTAAAGCAAACTGGTTTTCTGTTATATGCGGCGGCCTTGTCTAGCTAGAGAAGGCTGAGTACAGAGCCGTCAATTACGAACAAACTCCATTAAAGAATCCATTGGAGAAAGATCCATAGCTGAAGAGGTTTGCTGTTCCTTGCAAATTTACACGATGTCGATGGCGGATGGAGAATTATAAAAAGGCTAACCGAATACCGGTTAGCCAACCGTAAAACACTTCACCGTCGTATTTGCTGCGATGGGCGGCCACTTCCGCATCTTAGAGTGTAGGTATGTATACGTTTGTGACCAATACCAAACCAGCCAGTCGTATAGGCGGGTTCCCGACCTGACTTCGACACCATGTTTGCCATTATTAGCACAACCTAAACTATGCTGAACATCGTAATCATATATAGCGTAAGGTTGAATTCAACCCGTAAACCCTAAAAATCTTCGACTCTTATTTATATTAATCGTAAAAGTGGTTTGTTTTTGTTAATTTCACAAATATTGGAGAGGTGAGTGGCTTCGATCCCATCGCACATCATACAATACTCCTCCTTGTACGAGCTACTGATAATAATAGATCTCTAAAGATTCCAGTATGAGAAAATGTTTTATCGATATCGGAATGATCTTATATAACATATGTAGCGATGAAGTCGATGGAGGGACCTCTCTAGGGTGCGTTCGGTGTACGGCGTGGTGAAATCGTCATGCAAAGGGGTCTGATACCGTAAGAAACTACGCTCAACATGCAAATAAGTTTCAACGTCTATTCTTCTTCTCTTTGACAACCAGCTGTCATGGACAAATCTGATCCTGGTTTTAGTAAATGCATTGCGGAATTAACCCTCAAAGTTCTTTTTCTACCCGTAGTCTATTCACGCGGGTCGTCGTTCTCTGACGTCATTTCACATTTGATCTCCGTTCCTCCAGACCCCTCACGAAAAATGCCACAGGCGCCGTAATTCAGCAGTACGGCGAAAGGCTATTTGCGAACTCGTTGGAAAATTATTTCCAGTTGCCACTTTAGCGTTCCTTTAAGCTGTTCATAAGAGCGACGTGCCCATTGTAGCCCGTAAATTTTTTCATAAGCAAGCAGATAAGAATGATCTTTCTCACTTAGTGTATATTGTATATATAATGTATATAGATACGCAGCCCTTTACGGCTCTCTTATGTTGGTTTGTGAAGTAGCACCTAACGCATGACGGACTGCACAGATTGGGTGGGCATGAGACTCTGAAGACTGATGTTTCGCGGGCGTCCAATTGCATCTCTCCCAACGCCAAACTGGCGATCAGGGACATGTTGAGGGAGCGAGAGTAAGTTGCGCATGAGTGCGGTAATGGGACAGAGACGGGACATAGCTTTACTGAACGCCGGCTACATCTCCACTAAGGAATGCATTGATCCACCTACCAATAGTGTTAACAGATCGACTTGTGATGCTCCGACTCTGCCAGTTCCATTTTTTTTTGATAGCGAATAAACACTGCAAGAGTGCTTCGACGTTCTGACACTGGTTTTCGCGTTCGTCCACTACGTGTTTTGTTTACCGTATGAGTTGTGCGTCATCTCTATCAATTTGTTGTAAGAGTTGATGAAGTGTTATACATATGAGACGCTAATGAGAATGTAGGGCCGCGTTATTTTTTGGCTTTTGCCTGATGCCCAGCAGCTTTGGGGGAGGTTTTGTTCACTAGCACCCGGTCGTCTTTGAAGTTCTTTTTCTCGCACGTTAAGTAACTTTTCTTGCTGTTATGCAAACTTGAAGGGCATATTTCTGCTTAAAAATTTCATTATCATTGCGCAACACGACATTACATCAGTATGAAATTTTTCCGTTGGAGTAATCTTAATCAGATTATAGCTTAGTCGTCTCCCTGTACCTTCCATTAATTTCGTCGTACCTGGGTCGAGCTATAGCCATTACAACCGACTGACAACAAAATACGATCCAGAATCTTCGACAATGTTCGAAGGAAACGAAGAATAAACCAAACCCCATGGCTGTTGTGATCGTAGTTAAACCTTCCACAGGTAGTTTCTGCAACTTACTTAAAGCGTTTCTCTTAAGGCTTGTTATTTTTTCAAAAATATAGGGTATCGTTGCTTTGTTATAGCAGCGTCTTGTGTGTTCTTTTCTGTTTTCGTTTCCGTCATAATGAGTTTCTAGGCCGCATCTGTTAACATTCTAGGTAAGCTTCCTAGACTATTTAGTACCTTAGCGCTGTTGTAGAACTCTAACTAGGATTATCGGTTAGAACTTGCTCTTTAGTCGGTCTCAGGTTAGCATGCTATCCGAATAACATCACGGTTAAGCTAGCTAACAATATGGCATCACATAAAAATGGCGCTGCCTGCCATAGTGAGCTATTCCAGGTGTTATTCAATAGTGTCGCCATATACACATAATAAGCATATCCTGCCCTCCAATTCTATCGTACTGTTATCGTAAAGGGGTCGGTCGATCATATATGATTCAGTATAGACGCGGTATATATGTCTAATAAATACGTAGCAGGGGAGCCATCTTGCTAGAAGCCCTGTGAATGGGCGCTTATTCTTATCTGAGCGGCTTCTATGCGCCTGTTCTTATCAGCACAAGCCGACAATGATTCGTAAGGCTCATACAAATAGTCAAGGAGAAATGTCGTTGCTAATTAGCTGTTTGGCTTATGCGCTCAGTGATTAGGTAGTCAGGAGCTGGGGGCGTGCAGAATGCACAAAAGGGACAAAGCCCAGGTCCTGCACCGCCTCTGAATACAACGGACAAGTGGCCCGGTTATTTTTCATAAGGATAGAAGCTGGAAGTTCTAGTTGTTCATACTTGATAGTTTCTAGGCCAGCCCGCTATTTTCTGCTTGTGAACGTAGGACTGAGCAAATAGTCGCTCACACTTTCAGTTAATGCTATCGTCAGCCCTGTTAGCTGAATAAAGTAACCTGTCAGAGCAGATTTCAATGGGAAAAAGAACGCGATAGCCACAGCATATCGTCAGTGTATCACAAATATCGTATGCGTTTGTGTAAATAGCAACTAATCTATTAGTTGCTATTTATGATGACTCAGTTACATTGGCAATAAGAGGAGAGAATGTAAGCTAATTGAAGATATACAAAATTCGCTGCTTACGTAAGATTATTATCGTGTAAAAATTAATTTATCAAAATGTTTGTCGTATCTATTTTTATATACGAAACAATATCCGAGAAACCGACTTGTGGATTAATATGTTCGTCATGCTACCGTTTCAAATGTACGCACAGGTGCTGAGACGTCCGTCATTTTGTCGGCTGTCTTCGTCATGTCCGTCAATCCCCCACCACCTCGTGCACGGCGCGGCGGCAGCGGGCGCAGCGGGCCAGGGGACTGTGGGGGTACACAGCTCGTACTCGCAAGCAGAGATCCACCCCGTTTCCACGCACCACGGCCAGACATCGTCCTCCGCATCCACAATTTCATCGGCAGGAATAACACCGCTAACCTCATCCAGTTTGCAGCAGCAAGAACAGCCGGGCTCTCAGCTACCACGCGCCTCCACATCAACAGGCCACCACAAACAACTTCCGATGCATCCGGACAACGAGGCCACTCGCTTGATGGTACGTGACCCGACATGGTCTGGCCTATCGTATAGTGCAGCATAACAAAATAACAGTAGCGGAACCTCATACTGCCTTGTTGATCTGATCTGACCTGATGTGAGGTGCGGTGGCTGGCCATTGACGGTATATTCGAATGAAATCTATTGCTTTTGCTCTATAGGGCATTGCGTGTCCCTAAAGTGAACATGTGCAATGTGGCAAAATAATACTATGAATTTCAGCGATTTTTTATATGGCGAACTGCCAAAAAACGGCAACGAACGGCATCCACAGAGCTGAACGAGCGGGACGACAAAAAGCCTGAGTAATATGTTGAAAAGAAAACCTCCAGAAATCTGTAAATAGATAATTTTTTTCAATCCTCATCCTGTAGTATCGTTTCAGGAGAACTCCCTTGGATATATGTAATCCTTCTTTATTAGCATACGGCATACATAGATCTACATTCAACCATATTTAGTTATTTTATTCATATTATATTTATTCTAGTACGACCTGTCTTATAACATAAGTCGTACAAGTTAATATAACATGCTTATATCACCGTATAGTAACCTAAGCTCTTGAAACTTGTCTCTGATGTTCCCTTTGTTTCTCTCCATTATATATTTATATATACCGTTTGAGAAAACTCTGTCCTTTGTAAGTCTACGGTAATCTCGTTATGCAATACAGTGACCTCATGTCGAGCTCAGGCTCCAGCCGTGAAGATGCACTCCTGACACCTACTCCATTTTACCTTTTGTCGAAGTCAAGTTATCGTAATAGTAACGACTATTTGTACTTGATCAAGCAGAGAAGCCATAATTGAGAGGACGCTCGAGATAGTTTGTGAAATTCAAGAATAGCGTCTCGTAGCTAGAGAGTGCACTCCACCTAGGTCGGCCAGTTGAGGTCAGTGTTTTGACGACTGACAAACAATTCGTCAATCGAGGTGAAAACTGAACCGTAATCCTCGGATTATTGACGGTTACCTTAGAATCTGAGCATTTTACTCAAAAACTAGAAATTTAGGTGCCCCACATCTTAAGGAAGGAGGCCTTTAACATCTCATCCGGCATTAAACAACACGCAGTTATAGTAACAGGCTTCTACACAGAATTGTCATAGGTAGCCATGAAAAATGTTTCTACACCGATATAAAGCAGAGAAAATAATGGGCAACTCTATGAAGACGTTCAAACTGAGAGTTGAGCCAGATCTTCATTCTCAGAAAGTAATCATTTGCATTTGGTGGGGTCAGAAAGAGACCGGAAAATGTTTGAAAAGTATAAAGTGGCCAACAAAAATTTATATACGTCCCAATCAGATCAAGTGAACTGAGCTGTTCAACAGAGGAGAGCCAATAAATGAGGCAAAGATGACCTCCTCTACGACAAAGCCAGGTCGTGGCAATGAGCTGGGGTGGGTGCAAGAGGTTTTGCGGACCTCGCGGGGACAATAATTTTACTTTATCTGGTTACTGGTTAATGAAATGAGTTTTAATTGTTAAAAGACGAGTTGCCTAAGACCAGACTAGAACATTTCTGGAAAGAACGAATAAATAAGTCGGTTGACAGATGAAAGAACGTCGTGGAAAGTGACAGTGGATAAACATGCTGTTAAAATTTGATTAAAACGTCGTTTTCTAGGTGAAAAAAGCCCAGAATTAGTCATGTTCCAACCTAAGTAATTTAATATCAACCGGGTATTTTGTTTAGTAAGTAACTTAGCTTAATAGTTTATTGTTGCTATACGCGATCTGAAGTGTCCCTCTAATGCTTTATTCGTATATAGTATAAAGCCTCAATGATGCTCTATTGCCAATATATATATATAAACAAATACTTCTCCTTTTCATTCACGTAACGCTCAAGCAACATATGCTTTTTACTACTGAGTAGAACTGTCTAAAGACTGAGGATTTTTCAGTCTCGCTTCTGTAGCGGCTGTCAGCAGTGGTTTCCATTGGGTAATTATTATTGGAATATTTAGCCCTCAAAAAGTAATTTGGCTGTTTTTCTTTTTAATACATCAACGCCCTCCTCCTCGTATTTATCTTAATTAGGATGATATTAGTGAAATAGCGAACGTCCGTTCACCTTTTTTTGGAAATTTTCGGCAGGCTTGCAGTACATTTCGTCCTTGATTCCTTCTTCTAAGCTCGCTGCGGTAATAGCAGCGGCTCAGACGTTTCGAGGTTCGCTACTGGGAACCAAACTTTGGGAATGACGTCCCTACCTCAAGAAACTTCCCACACACTAACCCAAAGCAAGAAAAGTTACTGTCTATTTATTCTAGAATGGAGGACCAATTACTCTTTTTTTTTTTAGGTTCTGGAGGTTTAATTCAAGCTTGTAGGAGCCCCAGATAACAGGCAACTGTGATATCAAGAAGCGAGTAATTTTCTCTAAGCAAAACACAATAATAGGCTACCCTTTTGCTTATGCGCAATAGGTTAACATATGAAAAATGCTGGTGACTGTATTAACTAGCTCAAATGATTACCTATACTCTGTCTATAATACGTTTTTCTAGCTTGCTCTAACGGTTTATGTCTGTTCTATTGTAGCTATAGAGCTTCTAATACGCTTTTTGTTATAATGATTGTTTTTATTGTGCCCTGTTCATAACGCAGGTAAATTCAAAAAAGTCATCTGTGTCTAGTTCCGCGCTGGACTCGGTGGCGCTCCGCAGTTCTCCGGCGGGGGACGATGATGACGATGAGGCCGTTAACAATGTCAAGATCCTCGTTAACGATATCACTCCGGCCAGCTCACAGGTAAGCAGTGCGAAGGCAACACGCAGCTGGTAAGGGAACAATACAATAACGTACGTAATGTTACAAATTGTCTAGCTGCAACGGAATATAGGATAAACGGCAATTAGAGACCATAGCTAGTCCACCGTAGCTTCGCTACGGAGTACCGTGTTATGGTAAAGTATAGCTATCTAACATCTGATTCAACTAACCTCCCCTTAGAAGGACAGTATCCAATATCAAATCATGATTTCATCCTAACTAAAATATCCGTCTGTTAATGAGAATCTCACAAAGGTTTGTGTAGTTCTCTAACGCAACCTGCTTGGCGGAGTAAGCACCGCTTGCAAGAAGCTTCGAATCAAGACACCATATGGCTTGCGTTTGTAAACTAGTAGTGAATATCTGTAAGTAGAAAATACTGGTATAATCTACGAGGCTCCAAGTAGCCATAAGTAACCGACTTTAATCTAAAGAAACCTGGGGGTTGCAAACCAAACAAACTATCCAGGTGAATGAGATGGGCACTTTCGTCAACTGCCTAACCGGTTATATATTTGGATAAATACTGGTTTGTATATGATACAATAGTATGTGACACGTACTTCCCATGATTCCAGCATGAGCAGGATGATTGTTTAAGGAACTCTCCCGGATAATGCGGGATTGAAGAAACTGCTAGCAATGGGACAATATTTGAATGGGGCGACGTCCTATGATGGCTTAGCTGTTTCCTGAACTATTTCATTCTAACATACGCTAAATCTGTACAAAAAATAATGGCAGACCATAGATACCCCTTGCAATGCTAACATGTGTGAATGTAAATTGTGCTACGACATCTGATTGTTGAACCTATACTCTGTCCTAGATGTGTAAACATACAGTCGTCTTCGATAAATCGAAAAATTTACTGCCTTAGCTATTGAAAAAAATGTATCGCTTATAAACGAGACTGTCGCTGACGGCGTATCTAGAAAAAGAAAGCAATGTATTTTAAATTTATTGAATTGCCGAACGGCAGTGACAGTATGCCGACATATGAACCTGTGTGACTCGAACTCTGCTAAGCAAAACAAATCCATTTTCATAAGGTTTGACCTTATTTCTTGTTATGAAAACTCGTGCTATATGTACTATAATTAATATATTAAGAGCTATGTAGGATGGCGTGGTTAAGATATTCGCGGCACGCTTTAATCTCATATGAGTCACAGCAGCGTCGCGTGGCAAACGTTCCCCATTCTTGATGTTTGTTGTCGCTAAGCAGACCTCGATCCGCTTTTAACGCAGCTTTTGCCTGACACGTACCAGCGGAACGTTAAACGCCGCGTACTGCAAGTAATGGGCGTTTGACCAGTCCCTATACTAAGTGCAAAATGGAACTTTTCCCAAACAGAACATCTAAATTTGGAAACAATGGCTCATTTCAGATTACTCATGTTATCCACACATGTCGCTGCGTGTACATGCATTCGCCGCTCAAATGTATTACTTTTAATTATCTCTCCGGGTGGAACAAACACTATTACATAGTGCTTCGTTTTATAGGAAGAAAAAAACGCGAATCTATAGCCATACCATTTACTGATGAATGCTTTCAAGGTATTATTGTTACAAGGCAAGCGAGTAGCGTATGCCATCTTGCATAAGGCCACGGATTATCTTAGCATCCACAACTTGTCACGATCTTGGTATCTTGGCCTTCCACTTCCACTAAAATAGCCAACCCCACCTATCAGTATCAACAATGTTCTCGCAGGTAAATAGCGATATAGTTGGCCTCGTCATCAGTATTAATTATCAGTAAATCTTGTAGACTCTGAGGGTTTTCCCCACGCTTCGTCGACGCCGTTTGCTGAACAACGTGAGCTACAGCGGTAAAACGGTGTCGTTTTGGAACTCGCCAACGTAGCAGCGATCGCTCCTCGCCTGAGCTGAATGGCCTTACAAACTGTTTGTTAGCGTTTACCAGCCTCACCCTCGATAGGCTTTGGCGCCGCGATAACGTCTTACTGGAGCCAGAAACCGGGGATCTAAAGTTGGCCTGCTAGCAGCCTAGACGCTTTCCCGCACGGAGTGTTTAAAGTGGCTGTGTATGCTAGAACGCTACCTGATATAGAAGAGCGAGCGGAATTGGGATGGAGTGGAGCGCAGAAACTGTATCGTCGCGTCCATGTGGATTTTCCGAGTGCATTTGTTGATGTACGTGTACTTATGGTCGCATTGAACGTGTGTTGACAGGCAATGGTCGTCGAGAGAGAGCGTGACATGGGCGACTTTGCCCTATGCCCAATAAAGCTGGAAATGTGGACAGGTAACGTCGACTCGCTACTAGAGCGTGGAAGGGACCGAGTGATTTTTTTCTGCACGGGCTGTTTGACTTGACAACCGGAAAACTCAACGTTAAAGCGAACCTATTCACACTCTTATATCTCTACATTCCTTGACAATCATTCTTCCGCTCCGATTGGCTATATTTGTCGGTCCTCTAATGCACATTTGTGTTGTTACCTCCCCCCCCGCCCCTCCCCCACCATGTGTTGCTCTCTGAATAGAGAGCGTGGACCTCGCTGAGCAAACGAGATCCAACCTTTTATATTTGAGAGGCCCCGTATTCGTGTGGGAAGGAAGTATCGTTTCGTCGGTACACCACATATCAGTAGGTCATTCCATTTGACTGATTTTCGTTTCACGTTGTTAGGGCTCTATTACGGTATAAGGCACGTTTTATACTTCACTCGGTCTTGAGATATATCTATGTGATATGCTGAGTTGTTCAAAACGAAACGTTTGGGTGCAAAGACACGTGCTAGTGTACTTTGCATCGTGCCCATATTATTATCTATGCTTTACATTGCCATTGATGGCATTTTACCGCTTGGATCTAGAAGTTAATTATGGAATCAATTCTTGCACCATAAGATAGGGACAAGTTAGTTTTGTTTCCAAATTTTTTGCCGGTTGTTCCTCCCTCCTTCATAGGCCCATCTACTACAACTGAAACTGGTTAAACAGCCAGAAAGCGAGGTCGTCCCTTGAAACGTGTAGTTTCTACTCAGTCTATGTAGTAGAATGGAAGGAACTGCGCCACGCTAAACTTTATTCTGAATGGTCATCTCCATATTGGAGGAGGTTCGTCAGGAGGCTTGTCTTAAGTCTAATGTACATATGAAGGAAGGAAGCTCTCACCGAGGCCGTGCCTTTGACCGCATATATTGCCATGGGTAGAGCATTTTTACAAAAAATGCCAATGATGCGTCTCACTTCAGACGAAATGAGTCTGCTTCACTTGCCTTTGGGATATGGGTTTTTAGGGGCCATGAGGACTCAGAAAAGCCGGGAAAGCAAGAGAGCGAATGCAAGTGGCGGGGGTGAGCGAGAAAGTGCGAAATCAAGGAGCAGACCTTAGCTAGGGTCTGGGAGCAAGCCACGTGCAGGAACATTTGCTCTATTGCTATTTGTAATTTCCAGCGTTTGTATGCTCATTCTGTGGCTAAAAGCGTCTGTCAGCATTTAGATACGCATAGATACGCTCTCTTGGGTACAAGGAAGGAGATGATGTCAGTTCATTTTGCTTTACGTATATAAATCACGTCTAGAAAGGGTTAGGTCGTTCCTCGTAACTAAAAGTATTACCTAATGCCGAAACACCAGTTAATTCTCAGAAGGATCCATCCAGCAAGGTAACTAGTAGGCATGGAAAGCTGTGAAATCAGCAATAAGCCTAACCAGCTTCGCTTACTCTTAATTTCTCCAGATTTAGTTTTCTCTCTTAAACGAACAAAACGCAAGAAGCGCTGTCTCACCTCTTTCATTAATTATCCCTTTTTGGAACGTCACTGCTATTCGCTACCCAGAAAGTGACCAGTTCCGAACGCAAAAGGTTCGTTTTAAAGAAATTTTGATAGAAATTGAAACATTACTCACAGACAAATAGCTGTTTGTATATGAAAGAGTTGCGCTGCAGTGTCAAGAGCCGGTACAACTAATTGGTCTCTTTTAGGCATTAGCGATATGAATTACTACATGTTATATAAATAAGTCAATACATATTAAATTGTTAACATCGGCATTCCGGTAGCTGACAAATGCTCCTGATGTTTTTCTCGTAGGAGTTTTTGCAGGCATCAAACCCGTCATCGAGGCGATCCTCCGCCAGTGATGTACGCCACAGTCCCTTTCAGGGCAATTCAATCGGCGGGAACACCGCGCAACGACTCGCAAAGCGAAGTCAGCTCCAAAGCCAGAATTCAGAAAGTTCGAGGCGGCAAAGCTGGACCGATTTGAGTAAGACGGACGCAATTATAAGTCAGACCGACATCATTGGAGGCATCACATTACCGTTGCTCCATGGAACCCATGATAGCCCCAAGACGGTAAACAACCGACGGGCGCATAAGTCGCCGATCAAACTGCAGAGAAGGTAAAGCAACAGTGATAAAAACAAATTAACTACTGATGCAACCGCAGTAACTGCGAGTTTTTCGCTTTTGCAAAAACGGTCCTCTTTCGTAACGTTGAAAACTCCCACCATCGCTTGCACTTGCGCACAAGCGCAAAAAAAATGTGGGGTTTAGATTGCGGGTTAAATTCAGTTTTTATCCACAGGTCTTAAATGACTGTTTACTACTACTACAAACAGCTTCTAAAATTCTTATCACATATATAAGCTTCAGTGTCATATCGTACGCTGCCTTAATACAAATCATTTCACAATCGAATGCGTTTTGAGGATTGTTTTTAAAAGACCTTTAAAACACTCTTCTGTTTGCGTAACAGGGTACGTAGAATTACATCACCTTACAGTTACTGATTATGTTTACTCGAAAATTTGCAGTAGTATAATAAGAAATATTATTATCGACAGAACAGCTTAATGTTTTTTTTAATAGTAATAAAATAATCGTATACGTAAAGCACAATGTCAAAGGTATCACTACTATACGCCTCACGAGGTGCTTATATTGAAATCTAGATGTATAGACTTCGTCATATAAGCACATACTTGATTATTCCGTTGTTTTCTTTGCTAAAAGATGAGACTTTACTGTTATACTCTCGTAGTACTTGATGATTCGGACATTGCGGTATACAATCTCGGTATAGGCTGCAAGTAGACACAAGTATGCCGATACGAGTAGATCAACAATGTATAAATGCAAATATATTTATTCCCGCTTTATTCAACTCAACGCTCGAACAGATTTTTCTTAGTAAAACAATCGTATTCACTAAAGAGACATGATAAAAATCGTGACATGGAATCGTAGCAAAGAACTAAAGTTGGCACCTTTTTATCCGCTAAGGAAGGGTCACAGACCATACCTGTTGACGACAGCTGTCGGCTTCTCATCTAATCCTAGAAAATCTTTCGATAACAAATACTACCCCTTTAATTACTCACTAAAAAAAAGAGAATCTTCTGAAAACCTCCTTCGTGCAAACCTCTTCATAACACAACAGTTATGATACAACCTGTTCGTAAGTTCGCTCCGCGCAGGGACCGATGCCGATGAATCAGAAAATGAGGCTTTATTGCGTGCTACGCCGATAGCGGTGACATTGCATCTATCTCGGTTCTACAGCGGTTTTATAAGGTACACATATGGATCCATTTCAAGGGGTCACTACTCTTAACCAAGAAAAGATTGAAATAGCTACTTTTCCACTAATTTCGAATAATGCAAGTTGCCCTTTTAATGGGAGAGAAAGAGTAATAGCTAATTAAAGGAATAGATAATAAAAATACTTTGCAATCAGCTGCATGGAAAAATCCGTTTCCAATATGTCTGATGAATTAAGTAACACGCCAAAACGTTGTCCTAGGAAATGTTGAATTTTGAATAAGAGAACTCATTGCTTATAGGGCTTTAAGGCACTACGTTCTATATTTAATGGGATCTTCCGTGAGGTGAGTCTTATAGAAAAAGCCATTAAAGGAGACGTATGACACGTTCTGCGTTAATAAACCTCACGAAGTATTTGTATATGTGCATTCCCTTATAGTATCGCTGCTACTTGCTGTCAGTTATTGGTAGTAGTCCAATGACGAGGGTTCGTAATCGAACCTAAATGAACGTACAAAATGCTGTCACGCTAATGAAACTGAGCCGTTCTATCCTGATTTTCAGTTTTTGTCCTTTTTTCATCGGGACACATGAAGCTGCAAAATAAATAGCAAAACTAGGATTAACCGGACCTGGCTAAAAAACGAAGCCTAAAAGTTTCAGTTCAAAGAAAGTTACTTACCACTAACACATATTTATTTACCATAAAAGAAAGTCGATCTTCTCCGGTGCAGCTAAATTCGAAATAGGCTCAATTGCACGAGAGCACTTTGAATGTATATTGATGTTATGTCAGACTGCAACTTGATGAAAAATCGATAGTTCGAATTTTGTCTTCAAGCGCGATTATCCTATTAAGGTTTCTCGTTCGAATAGCTCGACTCGAGCGACAGAAGAGGCATGGCCTTTCTGTCTTCATAATTAATACCATCGTGATCGCGAGCTACGCGCTGAATGACTGCTACGACCGTGGCCTTCAAGACTTTAGTACGGGCTTAAAGACGATAGGACGAGGATCGTATGCGTGCTATCCTTGTCGGTTTCAAATCCGTTCGCTTCATTAGTTATTAAAGGCATGTAATTTATTTCATTTTAGGGATTTTAGATCACCCATGTCGATACATGGGTGTGTATATATATATCCGAAAAAATCAATCCTGAAACTAAGCTTTTTATAATATCAATATATACTCAGCACCCTAATAAGCATTCACTACTGGAGCTTAAAACACGCTCAGAAACGTACTAATTGTGCACGATTGAATCTAATTATATGCGTTACATGATATCTAATGGTACATCTGAACATATAGCTCACTGGGCTAGAACAATTATCGTTACAAGACCCACCGAAACGCAGAACTAACTACCTGCATATGTGAAAACGTAGTACAAGACTTCATCTCCGCTTCACCTGCTTGCCTTTCCCCTTAGCCTCCATTGCATGGAAACTTTGTTTTACCTCGTACTTCCTCATATAAATGTACCATGTCTTATATTTTCAAAGCCGCTTGCACATGGTAAAGTAAAAACCGAAAGATAACAGACATGTAAAATGTGTCGGTCTTCCGGGCTCGAATCTCAAGCATGTAGTGCTCGCGACCTTATCTTAACAACAGCTGAGAGCAAAGTTAAACATAACTACACCGAGCTCGAGCGATATCTTACAGGTGTCCACAGGTACAAGAGTAGCGATACATATATTCGACGAGAATACCGACGATAGCATAGGACGCATACCTTGTGGTAATGCAGTTATGATAACGTTGCTTACGAAACTTAGAAATACGCGGAGTGGTTAAACGTAAACGCGTTAGGCTTCGCGCTAAGAGCCAGCCGTCTGAAGCCATGATAAAGCATTAGCGGACTTAAGACTCGGAAAGATTTAATGCACACATAGCAGAAACCTCTGATAAAATATGATGATTCATGTATCGGTTTACGCATGTATCAGCAAAGGTTTCTATTGCATTCAAGCAAGTAGAGTTACCGGCAACAGTGAAGTAGATCACGATAATAAACTTGGCCAGGAATATCTTGTATAAATTCTTTGCTCTGCTTTTGAAGTCCGTCTGATTGTAATCTTCGCGTGAGGTCAGGGAGAATGAGTGAAAAAAATAGCCAGCAGTAGCAGTAGCACCTTGACCAGGGTGCTATTGCTCAACGGTAGTATCAGACTCTATCAGACTGAGTTAAATTACGAGCCAGCATTTCTCGCGTACTCTGGTTCCTTCGTTTGCTGCTAGGGTGTGATGATGTTAGCCTTCTACTCGTGTTCCCTGCTGGGGAAACAGGCTGTAGACAGAGTCAGTACGTGCGTTCTACTCTAGAAACAGATCAACAGCCTCGCCGGCAGCCGTGGGAGTGGTCTCTTCTTGCCGTTCGTAAGCCGCCTGTACGTTTGCTACTCCGCTGTCCATGTGTTCCTTCCTGGCTTGTCAGTGTCTAAGCATTAGCAAAAAGTTCGGTTAGAGGATTTAGCGAGCCCTGCTTAGGAGGACGAAGCAGCGTTTCAAGGGGGTACGTATGAGGTGGTTTTGGGCAAAAAAACGAAAGGAACAAAGACCCGGAAGATAACTAATCTTCACTTTCTTATCGAATAGTGTGGCTGTCGACGACGAATAAAAAGTGAACGCGCTATCGGGTGCGCGAATGACAATAAAGTCGAGAACACTGGTATCTAAAGAGGCCAAAGGCGGATCGGGTAGGGGTTTGGTAAACGACGAGAAAGACGATGAAGAGTCAATGTGGAAAAAGAGTAAATCGCTGTTTTGTTATCAACGTCACATTAGCCTTAAAAGGGCTGGGCTCGCTAAGCCTGTAGGCTATGCAGTAGGCTAGCGAAGATCGGCTCGGGATCTATTAAGTGGCTCTGGAAACAGGAGCGGAAAAGGTGGGACACATGATAAAACACAGCTGGAGTCAAAAAAAAACTCTTCTCGGAAAGTACGTGTATTTATGAACTGTTAAATTGTATAAAAAAACATATATAATATATATATATATATATATATATATATATATAAAATAAAGACGATCAGGAAGTAGTAATTTAAAAGTATACCTTTTTATCGCTGTGTGTATCATTCATTTTAACTGAACACTCTCGTTGCTTACGACTGAATGCAATTCGGCTCTCATAATAATACAATATTCAGTCTAGGCTCAAATTAAGTCTGCCAGAGGACTCCGAATCTGAATTCCAACTAATAAACTATCGAACTTATCTTCTCAACGGCGAGTTCCGAAAAGCCGACAGTCGGAAGTACTCTCGATGAAAAGCATGTCTTCGAACCTCAGTGTCGAACCCTGACCTCTACCACTAAATTGGTCAGATAACAAAGGTCATTGGGAAACAACAATAAAAATGATTTCATTCCATCCAATGCAATAGCAATAACAAATTAAAATTTAAAGAAGTATTAAATTGTACTGTGATTTCATTGTCCGCATCCCCGTGCTGGATTCTAAAAAGGTTGCTTCGTATGCTTCTGTAGGACCGATTTTTCTGAACGCCATGTTACTAGCTGATGATTGCCAGTAGGGTTAGTGTGTCGATTCGGAGGATGCCCTTTTTTTCTCTTAAGTAGAACGATTACTGGCGATAGGAGCAAGCGAAGAAGTAAGTTAGGATTAAGAAACGACGACGACGGTAGTTATTAGTAACACTGGTTATTGGCGAGCTGGTTAAGCGAGCGAAACCGCGAACTCAAGTTTACAGATATCGCTAGCAAGTTTCCTGCCTTGTTGTAGAAACCGTCACAAAACAAGAACGCAGGAGTAAATTAAAGAGTGCTTGTGCATGCACTGTTAAGCGTTTGCCGCTAGAACTACACGTAGACGTACGTCATGCACGAAATGCATCGCAGGAAACTGCGGCTAGCAGCACTTCTTTCTTTCTTCCTTCTTTTTGTTTCGTTTTCTTTGCTCGTTCCCTGTCAGTACGTAATTTTCCTAAACACTAGCCCCTTGTCATGCCACTGGTCTGCAGTTCCCAGTTGCGGGACTACCAGCGGGGGAATCTTTGCAGCAGCTCATTATGGAACAAGAAAAAAAAAATGCAGTTGCCTCATCGATCTACCAGCTGTGCATACGAGGATAGCGAACTCTTCTTCATTTGCTTATTATACAGAGTGCTAACAAGTTCGTATGGAAAAGAACAGGGCAAAATGAGTGTGATTATTATGTGATGCAGTTTTATGCAGAATTAATCTGTTGAATTTGTACTAGACACTCATGGTGCATTTTTGATGCAGGCAGGGCATAGGGCAAAGTCAATAGTCGGGTTGTTTGTGCGAAGGTCCGTAATATATTTATTTATTGTTGAACTTGAATGTTTCAGAACAACGATGAGTTTTACGGCTTTGTACTATCAAACTATTTCTGAAATGGTTTTCCCTATTTGTGGGAAAAGGCCAACGTGTTGTCCCGACAGAAAACGTGCGCAAGAACGCTTAATCTGCTCGAAGTAATCCTATCGTTCGCGAGAAATGACGAAACTTAAGCGTCGCTATTGGATTGTTTAATATTACTGTCCTTTAGCAATGCCCGTAGCAAAGTTACGGTTTCGGTATGTTGTTGGTTGTTATTGTGTAACAAAGTAAGACCTCAATGAGAGAGGACGCGATCGCAAAGGGGTAACAATACGATTACTGCTGAAGCAAGTTGTTTCCCTCCTTCCTAGGATGCGCACTCTAGCGTTACAATAGCGGCATGGACGAGTGCAACGATATTACGATGATAGCTATCCAGTGTAGAATAATCTTCGTATAACTCTTCACCTATGGTTAGGCGGCGTGGCGTATCGCTCGTGACAAGAAAAGCTGAAACTGTGACGATTTTATCTTTAAAATGCCTTAGCTTCAACTTTAATTGTGGCTGTAGAGCCGATAACTAATCGAAGAATGGCAATAACATACTGTATAATGTACAGCACGCTCAATCATTGATTAATTAAAGCTCATACATACCATTACAGGAACATCAGCTTCAGCCAAGCCCGTGAAGTGGTCATTTGTATGCTATAGGAGCACACAAATGCTAAAGCACAGTATGCCAAGATATCAATAAATGTATGTGTATGACAAAAATTAACGAGTTTGATTATTAATTGATACTTATGTAGGCGGCAAATAAGAACGGGCGAACGCATATGAAGCACTCAATATAGAAAAAAGTCTGGAACGGTCGGCTGAACTGCTCGATCCATGATAGCTATACCATAATTGAAGGAAGACATGTCGATACGAACAGCGATGTTATGGTCGCGTCTTTGTGAACCGGGACCCGATCACAGAAATGGCACACAGATAGCCCAATCCGCAGTTGCTTCGCTAAAAAGCTTCATAAAACTTCTTGCTGTTGCTACCTTCTGGGTCGACCCAACCTGAGTAGTTGAAACCGAGCAGAAGCTAGATCGGCCTCAGCCTCAAAGGAAGTGCCAAACGAGGCGTTGCGCTTATTTTCGGTTCGCTTTTTGACGGCGAAGATGTTTCGAAAAGCAGCTCGTTCTGTCGCGATTGTTGGCTAGCCAGGTTTTCCTGGAGAAGCTGTCCTAGAGAAGACTGTCGACTGGCAGGCCAACGAAAAAATTGACGGCGGTTCACGTATATCAGCGGAGAAACTAGATGTTAGTTTCAAGGGTGAAGCTAGTTAGGTCACGGCGTCTTACGATTTTCTGGGCCTGTCCACGGTCCCGCATCCACCGATGATCTGTGCTATCACTTTAAGTTGACAAAGGTGGCATGGTGGTTCAATTAACTTTTTGCATGGAGCATAAAATAAATTAGTAATTTCAGATAACGAATTACGGCCTAAGGGGCAGTATACAAAATTGTGCTGACTTATCCAACGAAACACGAATACGTTAGCATATGAACGCACAATATAGTCCTGCGCTTCTTCGTACATTGCGAAAAAGCATCAAGGCTACCTCAAAGCCCATTTCAACAGACCCAAGAAATGTATTGAAGATTTGCTGGAAGCGCACCATTATCATCTGGATGAAATAAATTCATGTCTATTATTACAATATAGTAAACACAACTTTCAAGCTACAGTACCGTTAGACCATCGAGCCATTCGGCAAGCTAAATTTGGACAATACATGTGCTGATGTAATTATGTGATTAGGTGTTCTTTTTTCCATCCAGGTTATGATTGAAGCGTGGCGATGAGGCCGTGAAGTATAGTCGGGTAATCATTACGCCATTTTTAGTCGATTGCTACACCACAAATTTATAGATCTCGTCAGGGTATCTGGCAGCACTGGTCATTTCGCGTTCCAGCAATATCGCGTATGGACGAGTGCCCATAATACCCAGTGCAGGTATGGGCATAATTCTACGTAAAAATCTGTTCAGAACTATCATCTTCTTCCTGTTTCGTTCCCGTCCGATGGCATCGTTTTCGCACAGAAGAGCACCACGTATTAACCAATCTCATATAGATATAGCGATAATAATAGTTGGATCAATGGTGATCTCTTGAGTACGTTATGCGTGCTTGCGTCTGTTCTGCACCGGGTTCGTAAGGCCACTATTTTCTTCGCCTTTCATTTTGAGCTTCGGCGTATTTGTTATGATTTCATAATACGTTCCAAATTAGACCGGCAGGACGGGCACCGATGTTTGTCCTGCTTAAGAACTGCCGCCATCGCAGCGACTCATCCTCTATCTAAAAAGCTTGAGAAATAATGGTCTTTCGTATAGCCTTCAGCTTGTCAATTTCCGTTCGTAAAAAGACTGTACTAGTAACGAGGTGTTGTCAATCGTTTTGGCCAACCTATTTTCCAAAAAAGCCAACAAGGGATTCTGTTAGGGCTCTCACCATTGAGAAACAGGGACGCAATTACTAACTATCGGTTTTTGGCACCAAACGATGTCTTCGTTCGATGCTGTGAAACTAGCCTTAGGTTGAGGTGAACATTTGTCAACCGTCATCCGCTGATTGTACGTGAGCTAATGTAGACATTTTTCGATTGCTAAATGACAGGCATCATAAACATGGTCAGGTGATTGTCCGTACCGATTTTTGGTACGGGTTGCTTGGAGTTGATTCTGTCTTTTGGAGTTCTACAATTATCTACTAATGACATGATATGGTAACATAAAGATAACTTCAAGTCTATGGATGGACTAATGTATAGAGAACTAGATGTTTCTTCGTATTTCGTAGACCTCTACAAGCCGAACACAAATGATTACACGCATGTTCACTGGCTGCATACATTTTTTGCTTTTCTGTTCTATTAAAACGCGTATACATCGTCGAAGCGATCCAGTCCTAGGTTCAGTGAGAATTATCTTCGGACTTCCTACGAAACGTCAGCGTCGAAGGTCGCAAAATCTTGGCTTTTCAGTGTGAAAGGGTTATGTGTGAGCACCGAAAACGACTTTGGAAGAAAATGTGGGAACGTTTACGTAGTGCTATACAGTATTCAGGGTAATACCCCGAGTGAACATCTACAAAAGAACATGCTATTGCTACCAATCTATTAATCATAAAGTGTTCCTCCTGTTCAGGTAGGGTCACAAGAACTGCTACAATGAAGTTATCTTTATAATCAACGTCAAATGATTCTCATCAGCGACGCTCTAGTAAAATATTCACAGGCTAAAATCCGACCATTACAAAGCAGTGCTATATACCTCAGTGTATCTTTTCGCTAGAACATTTATTAGACAGCTTCCGCAGTCCCACTTCACGAGATCAAAACAAAGGTAAACAAATATTCAAATAAATTCCTTAATGAGGTATATTAGCGGGAGCAAACAGTGTTGTTTCTGTACTTAGATCGTTTGCAAAGCAGTGCCCATTAACTCTGGTACATGTCCAAACTGGTTTACGACTAAACTATCTCAGTATTACCGATGCCTTTTCACTGTTTTACTGAATTTTGCTGACAAACACTTATCACATCGTTGACCAGCTGGGCTATCCAGCCGCGAATAGACCAGGGGGACATTATTATCGGTTTTGTTTTTTATTTGCTATTCTTTACGAGACTTTTGTTGGAAAAACGAGCGGAAGACGTCGTGGTTGCTCCTCGTGGTTTCGCGACAGACGTAAATGTGTAAAAGCTGAAAAGGAACAACTATTTATGGACAATCTGTCTCCCCTCGGGGGATTAAAGCGATCATCCTTTGAAAAGCATTACGTTGTTTTGAAGGCGATAAAATCCAAGGAGTCACCCTATTCACAATTGCTTAAATATTTGAAGTCGCAATATCGTCATTACAGATTCCGTATGATATATTTCTGGTCGACTTCATGTATAACCGTTATAATCTCAAATAACGAAGGCCCATAAATATTTCCCCTTTGTCCACTGACGAATACATTTTTATCTACTTAATGTTTATATAATTGATTGTTTTTTATCAGCCACTTGAGTAACTGTCACATGAATATAAAACTGTGTACGTTTATTAGTGGCATTAAACAGACATCAGAATCTTTTACGAGCCATGAGACAATCGAATATATTACGAGCTAAATATAGATTGAATATTTTTGAGATAGAGCTTAAATGATTGGTCGTGCTCTCGTGCGTGCTTCTCAGTGTAAGTCTGAATAGTTTAAAATCAGCCGGCGTATGCGACGGTGGGGGACCAGACAGCGCAAGTAATTCGAGTTCAGAACTTCACACCTCAAGCACCAATAAGGGGGCGCCTCCGACATCATCAGCGACCTCGGACAGCTCGACCACGGCGTCAGGCAATACTATTTCACTGCAGACAGATATCAGCCGAATATCGGCAGAGAACCAGACGACGGTCGGCGGATCGGCTGGGGTCAGCCGACTAGCCGTAGCAGCTCCGGGAGCGGGAAAGCCGCCCAGCGGGGCATTTTCATCGTCTCATTCAAACTTAACGACCACATCAAGCACTTATGCGGGGGGCGGCAGTACTCAGGCAGGTTCGCCGATTGTCTCCCAGAGCTCAGCAATCGGAATCCCAGCAGGTAACGTAACAGCTGGCATTGGAGGTTCGGATGCACTTCATCGGGGACAACTGCCGCCCTTACAATTACTGCCCTCTAGCGAGCACAACTACTCTATGCAACCCCCTCCTTCCCCGAGACAGCATAGGTCGGCGAGCAGTGGTGAGGTAAGTGTACGATAAAGCCACGCACCTATCGCTAGTCACAATTCATTAATAACACATGTATTGCGTACATGCATTCTAAACATTAAAGTATATAAATCGAAATAGAAAAGAGACCGCAAAAGCGTAAGCGTACGGACTGTTTATTCTGCCATCTCAATTATCTATTCATTGCCATGTACTGCAGAGCTCATTGAAGAACCAGAACGATCTCTAGTCAGTATGCAAATATGCCATATTGCTCATGGGCCAGCGTGTGCCTTGATATCGGGCTCGGCTGACATAGTGGGCCCGCCCTGGGTCGCTCTGTTGCAGCTTTGCAGCCGAACGATTATCAGAGCAAGCAAGCTGCGTATGGACACACGCGTATGCCTATGCGCACACAGAGTAAGTGGAACGCGTATCTTAAATATCTGAAAAGGCTGCAGCGGTAGCACCAGCAGAATCTGCTAGGCGTATTCGTTCTTCAAGTGGTCGCTTCGTCGCGGAAGCGCCCCCCGCTCAGTCCGCAGTGTCTACTATGATTGATGGCACAAGTTATCTGTTAGTGGACTGTTGGCCCGGTCGAAACACAGTTTAACGTTAGGTGACATGCCTTTTGGTCTTGGTAGACGTTTTCTTTGGGTTCGCCGGTCATTGGGCCCTCTACCGTTGATACTCATTCGACTACTGGTAAATGGGTTCCTTCGTCCTCGTTTTTGTCCATTTCTGCCTTTTCCGGTATCCGCATCGGGTATTGATACGTGTCTGCCGTTATTTGGGGCGAGTGCACTGCAGACCATGTTGCTCCTTCATCGCTGCCAGGAGGATATGCCGCAACAGTCAGCGCAGACCGGGGCGCTAGCAGCTCCGAGCAGTGGGGCTCAAAGTGGCGGACCCCCTCCAGTGCCGCCCAAGTTCGCGAAGCCTCTCCCACCTGGTGTATTGAGCAAGAAACTGCCGCCCCCATCGCTGCAGAAAAGCGTTTCTACACCTTCCATTGTTGTCGCTCAGGAGACCCTCTTGCAGCATTCTCAATCCGACAGGTAACGAAAAATTCGTAGTCCGAGTAGATTGTAGCAACGGAAAATAACAACAGCCGAATATAACCGTGGATAGAACCGCACATATGCAACCTACCTAACATCAGTAAATAACGTAAATCAGATGATATTTATTCGAAGAAGTTACCATTCCTTGCACATAGGTGTAAACTCTCTCTCTATATATATATAGAAAAAGCTAGAAAGACACTTCTCAATTTTTTAAAATTTTTAGCATGTCAAACTTTTGGATTGCTAATCATGTACATTGGTAAGATGCTAAATTGTTGTAATCTATTTTTATCAAGTAACTGTATTTAAATTAAGAAGACACTCTTCTTCCGCTTGATTAGCAATGAAACCAACGCAATATCTTCGATTTGATCTCTATAATATACTTGGTCGTTGTAGATGTAGGCATAGCCGCAACTCTACACTAACCTAAACCTTAATTTTTGATGACCCAGTGTATATGGCTGAGTGAGGCTATCTATATTATTATTTTCCCCTACCTGTCTTCTCTTTACTTTCGCTCTGCGCAGATCGCTTCGTTCTTCTGAAGTTCAAAACAATGAGTCCGTTTAATTTCTTTCTAGTGTTAGCGCAGACCATACAACCGCTAGACACTTTTCAGAGTTATTGATTCCTCTCATCTGCATGTTCTCTATCTTTCCTCGCTTCTACTCTCGTCTCCGTAATCCGCTCTACGTGCACGTCTACCTAATGCATACTTTTGCATCATAACGAATGTACGCAGTTGCGTCGTATATTGTAGTGTTTAACTCGTTATATTACATAGTGTGTCTGTACATATAGCTGTGACCCGATGCCAATGATCGTATTCTTCTTAGTATTATTATACTAGTGTAGTAGTGGTTTTTTTTCTGAGGTGTCGTAGTATCAGTGAGCTAACCTATCTAGGTAGACTGTATCTAGATAGACTGTATGGAAAGCATGAGGTCTGAGTTCAGTAGTGAAGTGGGTAAAGTGACGTGTCAGAAATGTCTACAGTAGCCGAGTGGAAGACCATGCGTCGCTGGTGCACCAGCTGAGCGTGGGCAATGGTAGCCGTTCCGCGGGGCAGCTCCCGCACACAGCTGCCGCAACTCAACCAGGGGCAGGTCCGACTGTAACAGCGGCTGGGCACCATCTGTCCCAGTTACCTCACCTGTCGCAGCCATCGGGCCGAACGGGGCCGCCTCACAAGAGTTCCTTGCTACACAACCAGAGATCAATAGTGTACCTTCTTGAAGAGGAAGACGAACAACCAGATACACCCCACGTTCAGGACTACGTCGCTATGGTCTGCCGATCGCAGTAAGTAATGAGCAAATAAATGAGCCAGAAACACAACCAAGCAAGTGACAATAACAACAACAACAACAACAACAACACAGAAGTAACAGGGCTGCAAAAAATGGGTGGTGCACTAACAAGCTACGAAATAGAAATGTTTGGTACGGCATCTAAATAAAGGCCGTAAGACTCTTATGGCTCGTTTCTAAGACTGAGTCGAAATACTTAGTTCTTACATGTGCTAGAAGTGTAAATTATACGACTGAGTAAACTAAAGATGTTCTGTCGACACTAATTCGGCTTTTGCTCAAAAACGTCTCTTATAGTTGAAATTTCGGTTATTCGATAGCCATATGTACCTATCCCAAAACATGCTTGTTAACGGCTTACATGGTATAGTCCATCATCTTGCTGGAAAACGTATGGCCTTCATTCATACAATGGACTATTGATAGTTGCAAAACAGTTTGAAGAACATGCAGATAAAACGTTTAGTATTGCATTAAAAACCATGACATGATGTCGCCCTAACAGGACACTCAGAACCCGAACGCTGGCTGGGAGTTTCCCGATATCCACAAGACCTAGCCAGGGATAATTTTTTCGGCTAATTTTTGCATAAATGACAAGTTAATTTTGGTCAATTTTCGAAAACGAAGTATAAAATAGAGACTCTAGGTCTTGTTAAGCCCAGTGGGCATTTGTGTGGCTTCCAATAATCCGTGGCGGCGTCGTGCGCTTACTTGTCATTTGACCATTGAAAATACACTTTTGGATGGCTGCAATTGACTTTTGAAGTTCGCGTACTGTTTAATTTTTCCTCTGCAGCCGTACACTCATTTGGGAAATGGTACAATGTCGATTTGGGCTGATCTAAGAAGTTTATAATTTCGGTCGGGGCTTGTTAACTGCGTAGGGATTTCATAATAATAGCTCCTCTTCGCTCACATTCCAAAAATGACACGTGTTAACTTTTGTCTGATACAAACAACTACAGATGACGCACGCCCGTTACTAGAAACAAACAGCCCGCCAAAGCCTGTCGTAATTCAGGTGTCGTGGTCTGTAAACATAAATACTTAACAGCAAGTTAAAATATCTGTTTAACTAAAAGCAAATTAGTGAACCAATGTAGCTTGGCTGGAAAGGCCTTTTTCTCTTGTTAAGGCTTGTAGCAATACAGCTAGCTTCATACAACGTCCTACAGATAGAACCAGGACAATTTATCATCCCAGCCCCTCGCTTGTCATGTTAGTACAATTAAGTAAATAATCGATCATTTTAGCTAGCCGGTAAATTTTGTGAAGACATGATAGATTAGGGCACATACACTACACTACAGATTAGTCATTCGTGAAGAGATAGAGCCAACAAATTTCGTACATTTTACATTTACTATTACAAGTACTCCTTTATTTTCACTCTTACATGACTAATGTTATCACCTACAAGAAGGCATGCGTGCTTCCCCGTCAAAAGCCTATCTTCCATAAAAAAAAAAATTTATCATCAAAACAGCGAATATCTTCTCTGAAGAGAAAAACCAACGTGTCAAGACACGCTCATAATCGATTTAGTATATGCGATGGTTTCTATACGGAACAGATAACCATTTCTATTGGTGCAGCAACGCGGAGATAAATAATGATAGTGAGGCACTATGCAATTACTTCACGCTGGCATCTTCGAACAGTCCGTATGGAATCCAGTATCAGATTTTACTATCCGATTAAACTGAGAAAGACCTTTCGACATTTCGATGATAAAATAACACTTTGGAAGCATGCAGCTTCCGTGTCAGCATAGAATCTAGTGTTTTTTTTTTTTCGGTGTTTAGTAAGCGGCTGTTGTCAAGTCTACAATGAAATTACGCTCTGGAAAATTATCAGCCATCACATTATTTCATTTAAAGCATTAGTTTTCCAAAAATCTGTTGTAGTTGGCCAGTTCCGAGCTGTTCACACGTCCATACTCTCGCAGCTCTGAGAATCGATGCTACACAGATATCAAGCATACAATAGCTCGGAACAAATACTCGGAATGCGCGCAACGTTTCAAATCGAACGTGATCCTGATTCGAGACTATCCCTGGGTACAGCGCAAGCGTCGTCACTGCAGTCAGATTTTAGGAGACTCAATTAATTTTCCCAGCCGTCCTTGTGCTCTAGTGTTTGCGAGGTAAATAACGATGTTAGGCCAACGCGGCGGCAGCGGTGAGCGTCTTCTGACAGTGCCGCATCGATGCTAGGTGACGTGCCAGGTAATGAAAGCAGGCAGCGGGAGGCCTGATTGCAACTTTGCTCTCCCTAACAATGTGCCGTGTCCGAACATGTTCGCACCGTGAATCCCGCTAAAAGCAGCAGCAGCAGCAGAACGTGTAAAAGAGTGAGGACCCCTCATTCTGTCTCTACTACAGTCAGCTTTGCTAAAACTGAAAAAAGCACAAGTTTACACACTAAGCGGTCCATTTCAAACGATGTGGAATCCACAGTCAAACAAACTGTTTCATTTCAATGGAAAGGGGAGATACCTGCACGATGGTGACTATACCATATAGATCATTGCTGTAAACATCTAATATATTAAGGCACAGTTAAATATAGTACAAAAAAATCAAATAGCCATGTAATTCTAGCTAGAATGCAGCCTATAGCCGCCTTAGGAGAGATACAGTTGATCTCGATTGAAACTGCAGTATCCCTATAGATACCACAAGATCAATATTATCGGTCAGATACGACGTCGTCAGGAAATGCTTAAGCGATTTCTCTGAACATTTCCGGTTCTACATAGTAGCGCATATTCGTGACAGTTTACGCAATCGGGCACCTTCTGAAGACGCTTTATCCGCTCTATGACGGTTTCAGTAGGCTTGAAAGGAACCGATGACCTAGCCACTTGGTGGCGCTAGGTCCATTCAGAGTGTAGCAGGACTGTGTCATGCCAGCCATGCTTTCTCACTCCTGCGTGGAGCGGGTTCCTACTTCTCTGAGCTATTGTCGTTGGCGGTCCTTGTGTGCTGCTTGCAATAAAAATAGACGCGTCGGCAAAATTTTTCCGCGAAGATCGTGACATAAGAAAGGGCCCTACTACCGATGTTTGACCCCAAAGGGCATTAAGCTAGCCAGAGTTTCAATGCTCCGATCTCTTGACAGTTCTTGGTTGGCCGGTCCACCGTTGGCCGTCATTCAGTCTCTCGTTTTCGTGCATCTTGATCAGGTAATACCGCTTGCTACTGCTGCTACCGCCCCTTAGCTAGCCAGAGCTAGGTAACGTATGCGATTTTCTCGGGATCCAAGTCCGATACGGCAATCTCAACCAGGAAACGCCTCAAAAGCTAGATGGTCACGAATGGGGCGGTTATGGCCGTGTTGATGGTGGCATTTCCGTTTCCTGTACAGCCTGCTGCCAGTATCCAATACTAAGGCGGTGCAAAAATATCCTCCTTATTTAAACCAGAAACGAACGCTTATTTATTTTAAGTTATTGCCATTGTTAGTAGGTTGTTCATCAACTTTTATTGGTTGACTCTTTTGGCGTGTGCAGAAATATCGGTGAAATTTAAAGGTTTCAGTCAATTTCGTACTATGCGGCGTTAACCGATGGAATCAATGGAGGAGACACTTGTCTAATTTTGTTCCTGGACCTTATGGATTTGATCTGTACAGGAGCACAAGCTGCAGTCATGTTTGCATCCGTCTTCTTGCATCCTCTGTTTCCCCATATTTGTATTTTTCACTGCAAGCCGTAACCGGAGAAAAGACTAATGTTTTCCCTTTTTCCTGCATTTCCTCCGCATCTTAGTCAATTCGGTTTGATACACGGTTGGTTGATTCAATTTGCGTTCCAGCTTTTTTCTCGCGTACCCATCAACTAGCGAACTCTGTCGGAGAATTCAAAGCTTTTTTGTGATGCCAACCAGGTAATTGCCCAGACGCTTGCCTCTGTCGTCACCTTAACCCGTATGTAAGCTAAGAAGCTTAGTTTAACTTAATTTATCTCATGCTGAGCCTCTACCACAATTCCTTGAAAGCGCGCCGCTGCCCGTTTCATGACCATCTCCAAAATCATTAGGGATTAACTCAAAAGGATTAGCTAGCCAGGGACGAGTTGTAAAGGTATAAGCATGTCGAGAAGTAACTGCAAACATAAGGTGCTGCTTGCGAGGTGCGATACTTCTTTACCGTATACCTCTACACGTGCAAGGTGCAAAAGAAGTGGCCCAGTTTAAGGGGTTTGTTTTTAAATTAATGGGTATTTACAGCAAGTGCTTTAAAATCATCCACTCTAATATAAGCGGATAATGGGATTATCTTTGAAAATACTTAAGGCGCTGTAGTTTTAAAATAGTCTGTTATCGTAGTCTTCTGTGGTATGTTGGAACACGTTCGGAATCGTAAATTGAATATGTAGTCCATTGTACGGGAAATAGCCGTCGAATTTAATATAATAACGTAGAACGTAAGCAAACGCAGTAACACAAGTATATGCTGGCAGTCATTAGTTTTGGGACCTAAGCCTTAATATTGATTATGGCTTTGGCTGGCCGATACTTGCGACTTCAGCCTCTTTTCTGCTTCGTTCAAGCTCCTCGAACAACTCTACCACTGCTGTCGCCCAGTCTTCTGCTAGTCATTGGTCTTTTCGTATATTTGTCCTACAGGTGAGACAAAGGTTCTACGGGTCAAGTGGCTAGCTGCAGCTCCCGAACCGCTTAAACAGTTTTGGCATTTGTTTGGTACGCTACTCCCTTGAGTAGCGTACACGCGCCTGCGAGCCCCGACGTGGGCGGGCTCTTAGAAAAGCGGTGGGAGGTCTGCCGTTGGTTAGCCTGACTTTCTCCATAGCTAGCAGGTCTTGGATAGCGTCAAACCTTCAATCCTCGGCTTCCAGGTGCCGACTAAGGCAAAGACGCTAGAGATATGAAAAAAAAGTAGCGGTGGTAAACGTTTCTTCAATTTTCCATCGGACATTTTCAGTAGAATCGAGGAAGGTAAGAAAGAAAGTGCGCTTTCACATGG